CCCCTTGCCCACTCTTTATAGGGGTTCAACCCAGGCAGGAGAAGGGGACCACTTGGGTCCAGAACCGCCTGAGTTATACAGGGCGTGGAAGGGAGTGTTCAAGGACTGGACCACGGGATCAGATGCTATGAAAGACTGCAGCGGTTAACAGAAGCTGTTTAAAATTTACAAGTGTCTATTACCTATGGTTTTTAGCAGATTCCGAAAATACGTGTCATGCAGCCTGATGAGGTTATCTCTTACATTTCAATGACATCAAATACTTGGCAGTTATGTCCTTGATAAGTTCTTTGGTTAGGGCTGTACAAGCCATGCAATTTGATTTGCACGCGTTCCGTCTTAATTTGCATATTTTTTCTTTTGTCCGCAGGATGCCAGTGTTGTAGTTCATAACCCCCCTAACACTCAGAGCGTAGAGCTCTATTTCCGGGGGGAGAAGATGGCCAAGGTAGCGTTAAGACTAATCCCCATGACACTCACACTGAGAAATTAGGCCTGAACTTCCTTTTAACTTTGTAGCATTATGTTGCTTGGTGAAGAGAGCTCGTACTAATCTGTGATCAGGAATTCTGGTTTTTTCGCTTTGGCAAAAAAGAACGCCTGATCGCAGGTTAATTTCGCACGTTCATTTGTGATATGCATCTTACCACGGCATCTAGGCTCTTTTCTCTCGAACATCCGTTATACCTTTAGGATAAATTGATGAATGTCATTATGTGCGAGTATAGCTTGTTATTTGTTGTTTTGTTGCTCGTCACGCATTCCCCTTGTGGAGGAAGAAGGATTGCGTGACGTGCCCATAGAGCGTTTGCGAAAGAGGCTAGAAACAGATCGGTGTATTTATGGTGAACGTTCTTACACCTGAACTAAAATGTTTGATAAACAATCTAGTGAGCTGGTTGTGGGAGGCGCGGTGGCCTCATGGTGAGTGCGCTCGTCCCCCGATCGAGCCGTCCGGGTTCGAGCACTGGGACCCGTTTCTCGAAAGCCCTGGAAACTTTTTGGGCCCGCAGAGTCATTTTTAGATAATCTGTAGCTAAAAACCGAGAGGTGTATACGCCTGAAACTCTTTGTATGAAGAGAACCTCTGTTCCTATTAAGGATATCTGAACAAAACAACTCTGTAATCCTCAGTAAGGTTTGAGATTTTGCTACAGCTTTCCGGGTGCGAAAACTTTTCGGGACCTTCGAGAAACGGGCTCCGTCTGGGGACATCGTGTTGTGTTCTTGGGTAAGACACTGTTCTCTCACAGTACCTCTCTACACCCAGGAGTATAAATGGGTACCGGTGAAGCTAATGCTGGGGTTGCCCTGAGATGGACTAGCATCCCATCCAGGGAGGAGTAGAAATACTCCTAGTCGCTTCAGGCTACAGAAATAGGGATAACTCCGGCCTGATGAGCCAGTCTTGGCTCGTATGCAGACTTAACCCAGTGAGCTGGTGGATGTTTGAGGTGGTCATTTGTGTTTATTTTCAGGTGATGGGAAGCTTAGCAGCGGAAAAACCCGAACATGGGAAACCTTTATCAGGAATCCTCATCAAAAGAGGCTTCAATTATCATTTGATCGCACCAGATGACCTTCAAAGTGGGTTTTCTAACATTTCCTCCTTAAAAACTTAGCGATTGTAATTTCTCAACTCTGACCGCCGTCGTGCCTTAGTGAGGCTGACGTTTCGAGGGTTCTCCATTCAGTGGAGTGTAACAGTATTTGCATCTCTAGATACTTTGTGTCACAGAAACGCACTTTGAAGCGGGACTTCCTTGAAAATCACATGTGGAGAAACCGAGCTCAAGAGTGGACATCGTTGAAATGTCGCGCTTCAGACTAGCTAGAAACAAACAAATTCTGCACTTTTTAGAAACTAGTTTAGTTTTTTTTTCTGTTACGTGCGTTATTTTACATGCTTGGTTATAATTTGGCGTCGGCGGAGGAGGGAAGTTGGCGTTGGAGAACGTTTTTTCGTATTCTTACCATTTCGCTTTTTCTTGTTACGTTCTTTTCACAGATTACACAGAGCTCTCGACAAGTGTTCTCACACAGGTATGATGTAAAACACGACGCGTTACGCGTTGGGCCGGGAGGTGGATGTCCCCCCTTCCCCCCTCCCTCCAGAGGATTTCATGATTGTGAAAAGAGATTAACTCCGTGATGCCGTAATTTTCAGTAGCTGTTCATTCATTCTTTGCTGAAATTTTGTTTTGTCGACTGTACTGTTTTTTCGAGTCATTTGACATTACCGAGGTCGGGGTATGAGTTTGCTTCTACTTCCGGGGCTTGATAAGACAGAACATCGTCAAACAAGCAACAGCAACCCAAAAAATGCACAAGGATGGTTTAGATTAGGGAATATTGGGGCGACAAACATATAAAATATTGGCTATACTTTTCAATCTTATTTGAGGAAAAAGAGGGGCTTCTAAATACCTTGTTCTGTTCTGTACTGACCCTTGTTTGAATGTTGTTTTTGTTTAGAAGCAGACCGTCGCTTTCCATGGCGCCTTCTCTCTGCTTCTCCAGTGTATGGAGAACTTGGCTGGCGACGTTGAACAACTCACGCTACAAGGAGGAAAACTTGCGCTTAAAGTGTTCAAAGCTATCACTATTATTCAGGAGAAAAGAAGCGTCGTTGTTGAGGTATTGGCTCT